ATCCATGTTCATTGCCTTAAAGAATAAAGACAAGTAACCCCTCCATTTCATACTCATGTTTTGGCAGTTACCAACATCTTATTATATAGTCATTTTTCTCAATAACTAACACTTTCCAACCTACTCTTAAAGCTTGTGCCATTTTCACACGTATAATTTTAAATATGATGTATATCATCACACCTTATATTACTTCTACTGCTTTCTGGATTACTAGTAATTCCTTTTTGGCACTTAATAGAATTCTCGTGGTCTATAAATTTACTTGGACCCTCATTTTCATAAAGTGTTATGCATTTTTTACATCTCTAGCCATCCGTTTTCATGTGATCTATACATTAGGGGTGGATTTATACTCCGTAATATCATATCATCGATAAGTAATTACTCCCATGTGCACTAACAGAACCTTTTCCATATTATAGTTACAAGGCTTACTTTGTTGACCTCTTTGTGAGAGCATCCAATGTACCAGCCATAAAGATGTATGAGAAGGTATGGTTTATTCTAACATCATTTCACTTTGAACAATGGAAGATACTCCGTATGTTTTTAAGTAATTTTCCAAAACTTACAACCAAGTATTATAATGATAAAATCAGTCAAAAACTTCAAAAACCTTTTTAGATTGTAACCCAGTTCATGACCTAAAACAGGTTTACTTTGCCAACAATAAAAAGTTGTACCTTAGTCAAACACAACCTTTTTTTGTTCGTGTATATTCATTAAAGAATAAATCTTTAGTCTAAGTACACATTTTTCTCCTCTCCAGCTTGGCTACACAATATACAGGCGAGTGCTACGGTACTATTCCGGAGAAGAAGATGGGTTAGGTGAGTGGAATAAATCCTACTGTTGGTGTACACTTTCTATTCTTCTTTAATCCCGGATCCCTTCATCCCAATGTGTTTTTCCAAATTTTTTTTGGTTGATACTTGTACTAATGAGGAAAGATATCTTACAATATTTACCCCTACTTTTTTTCTGTGGAAGTGAATAATGTGAAGGAAAACTTGTCAAAATAAGACCAAAAAAGTTTTCCACTAATAGAAAGTGTACAACAAGAATGAGGTTGGAAAAGTGGACAAATACACCCATTTTCTCATAAATATTGAATAGTAACGAGTGTCTGTGTATGACTTTTTTGTTTTTTATTCTTCTACACGTTAGATATGAGGAAAGCTTTATCACGGGATGTGGAGAAGAAGTCGATCGTTCCCCTTAAGCAATCGATTACGCCAGATGAGTTGGAATATGATTGAAGACAAGTTGTCTTATTCTTTGTTCTTTGTTATTTATGGAGTATTTTATTTATTTATTTTACTGAATTTAGGTTCACTAAGTTTACATAAGTTCACTCTGGACTGAATAGAGCGTAATTTTTTCGCACTTCGTGTATAATAATGGAGATAGAACAGAGTCAAAGATATGATTTGTGTGATTCCATTTTTTATTAGAGTGATTCAAGTTTTAATAACAAAAAAAAGAACATATCATGATTCGGATAACCTTTTACTTTTCCTTAGTTAGAGATTGAATATCTACCTTTAGGTATACCTCTTCAGGCTAAATAAGTGGAATTGATCAATGAAGTTGCTTGGTACTCTACAATTTTTGTCCTTTTTAGGTTACGATGTTTCAACGATTACTTTTGTTTTCTTTACAAAATTTATCGAATATTAGTGTAGAACTTATCAATACATTTACCGTTTCTTTTTGAATTAGAAGTGTTTTATATGAGTTTGGGTTTGAACACGACAAGAAAATTCATAGGTTAATAAGAACACTATCATTTTAACCCAAAATTTTTTATATACTAGTACTTTAAAGTTATTTTCTGTGTCCCAATATAAATTATCTGTTTTGATTTATGATAAAATCGTTTAAGAAACAAAAGTAAGTTGGACGAAAGAATATAAAATGAGTGGCATCGTGATTGGGGGTACACAAAATGAACGTATGAAGTTCTGAGCATTATGGGTGTAAACGAATCGAATACTAGAATAATTGAATTTGTATTTGTTTAATTTTTTCGAATACAAATCCAAGTCTGAATATGAACGAATTAATTATTTGAATTGTATTTGATTAATATTTGAATAATTAATGAATTTTAAACGAATATTTGAATAATCATACTCCATAATTTATATGAGATATCAACATCGATTTTGAATAATTTAACTTACGGTACTTCTTTTGCTATATCTAAAAGCATTATTATATTTACATCTTACACAAATTATATTTTAAATACACTTTATACTATATTACGTTAATTTGTTGAGTTAGTAATTTAAATATACTTTATACTATATTAGTTTGTTTGACTATTGATGTTGAAAACATGATCAATGTGTATATACATATATTTGAATATAATCTGAATCGAATATACACCTATTTGTATATGAAAATAGAAAACATGATCAATGTGAATCGAAAACATGATCAATGTGTATATACATATATTTTGATTTCATTTTCTTGTACTTGGTGACATTAGTGAAATGAAAATATTTCTTAGGAAAAATATTCTTATTCAATGAGAGGAAAAAAATTACATTAAAAATCAAAGTAAAATTTTCATTATCTTTCCGCGCCCTTCCCCATGCACCCCCAACCTCCATCCACCCCATGCCCTTTTTTGACTAGTCTGATTTTAATTTTAAATTAAATAAAATGCATTTTGAAAATGTCAATGGGTTTCGAACCGGGTAAATGAATGTGAAATAATCACTACAACTACTAGTTACTCGTTTTGAAGACATAATATTTTGGGTGTTCTAATGGGAGATTTGAGGGGCTCATTAGTATTAGACATGATAAAAAATGATTCCACCCAAAACTAGAGGCGAAAACAATAGGTTTTGAATGTAGGTTTTCTTGATCAAACTCAAAGTTGACTAAATCCGAAATAATTCGTTAAAAATGGGTCAAACTTATAATCCGAAACTCAAAGTTAACTAACCCGCGAATGCAAGAATTTTTCAAAATTATATACTCCCTCCGTCCCAAAAAGTTTGTTACGTTTAGAAAAAACTGCGTCTCATAAAGTCCGTTACATTTCTATTAAAAAACCACTTTTACCCCTTACTTTTTCATACCCTACCTATCACATCATACCTTTTTTCTAATAATCTACTCATCACATCCTATTTTTACTCATTGCATCAAAGGTATTTTTGGAAAGTCAATACCAAAATACCCCTCCCTTAATTTTTCAAAAAGTCAAACCGTCTCATTCTTTTTGGGACAGAGGGAGTACTTGGTGAAAAATAATACTCTAAAAACAAGATTATAATTATATTTTTCTTACTACTTGTTTTTAGTGTATAAATATATATTATTAGAATTTGTTTAATGGTATTGTATAATTATCTTACTTTTTTCCAAAAAATATACTAATTCTTTTTAATTATTTATTTGCCTAAAAATTTCATTAAAAATTAGAATAAGTTGATATAATTACATTAAGTGACTATCTTTCCTTAAAAAGATACTCCGTATTTCTTAACCTCTAAAAAGTTCACATTTTTATGACATGCTTGTTTTATTTATTTAAATATTCATGTAAAATAAAAAAACATATATTAATCTTTACAAAAAAAATACTATTGAATGTAAAACTAGAAATGACTAGAACATTTTTTGTAAAGAGGGGTAATGTTACACCAATTTAATTGGGATATCCACGGTGCTATGATCGTAAAATTGATTGTTTTTATCCTCTGTAAACCCCCCTAGCCCGCCCATTGATTCACCGAAGCGACGAGACCTTGAAAGCGCAACGTGCCACGGCACCTCCCGTCAATTTAATTGCAACAAATTTTGTTGGCTTTCGAGACAAATATTAGACCCAAATTTGGGAGTACGAAAACTGGTCCAAAATTATACCATGTCCATTGGCAAGGCTAATGTGAAATGATTTGATGCTACTTATAAAAACACATTCAAATCCTTCAATATAGCAAATTGGAAATTAAGACGCGCGGGATTTTAAATTGGAGAATTCATTTTTTTCCCAGAGAACCATAAAAGCAAAGAAAAAAGCCCATTTAACCATAGAAGGTCCGTTAAAGGGCAAAGCCTTTCATCAAACACATTAAAACATCGACTGAGTTCAAATTTGCATTTAAACCTAAGAGTTCGGACGACTGTAAGGCTAAAGCTTCATCCCTCTTCAAGCGAAAGTATAGGTAATCTTCTACACTACGAGAAATGATAAGAGTCAAATGTGTTCACAAAATGTAGAAATTTCTCATTTGTGCATTTAAGTTTGTATTTTTGTTTTCTTTGAGCTCCATTTCTCATTTGTGCAAATGTTGGATGTTTCATTCCGTTTGTATGCTTGCTTGGCCGTGTTCTGATTCTGATCCGTTGTCAAGGTTATTTAGGCTTTGTGATAATCCTGCTTGCATTACCATAATAAGCACGAAAAGTATTATACTTCATTTACAGTATGTTTGGTTCACTTGGTTTACATGAAAAGAACTTAGTTCACTCATTTAAAAGCTGATGTTTCCCTTTTCAAGAAGCTAAATACTGCACTTGAAATTATAGAAATTTCCCTTTCATATTTTGGGCTCAATCTTTACCTTTATCTTGAGCTCAGTGAAATTGATGTTGAAAACCGTAGATTAAAAAGCATACCTGCTTATTGCGTCTCTCTTTTTATTTTTAAATTTATTTATCATTATTATTTTAAACAGATTGAACCCCTGAAACAGTCTACTTTTGTTAACCAGAAACAATTTGTTTTTATGGATGTTTTTTTTACAAATGCTTGTAAAAACCACATTACTCTGTTCTCATGCACACAAATAGATATGTTACCCAAAACATAGATATGCTTGTAAAAACCACTTCTCTGGTACCCAAACACTTTGATGCTTTGATACTGGAAAAAATGATGAGGTCTATCCCAAAATTTCCAAAACTGATCTCATGACCCACATTTTTTATTAGAAGTAGATGAGACTGCAAAGACTTTGTTTTTTAATGTTTGGTAATGTTTCTTAATGTTTTCAGGAAATTCATAATGGCTGCACTTGAAGAACTACCTATTGAAGTGCTGTTTCTAATACGGAGTATTATTACAACTAGACATGTTTGAACTTTTGCTGATGAAGCTGTCAGCACTTACTTCAAGAAGGTAATGGAGCAAGGATTGAGCTTGGAATTCTTTAGAGAATACAACCTAAATGGAAGGGGACATGTGTGCTTCTTCACGTACATTCATCACAACATGGCTAGAATCCGCCATAGGGTGGCAGCAGTAAGGGAATGGGAAAATGGAAGAAGAAAGACGATTTGCTTGACACTAAAGGGGATGGGAGATGAGGACCTGCAGTTGGTGGATGTATGGAAGAGTCTCCTAGTGTTTAGACACTATGGGGAGGAAAATGGATTTATAACTTATAATCTATGGAACAATGATGTGTCAAAGAAAGGAAAAGGTCCAAGTGAACAAGAGAGTATTGGAGGACCCTGAAGATGACATGACATTCATTCTATCCACAGTTCACCAAAGGCCAGTAACACATGGTCGCAGGGCCACGTTTAGTTCTATTCTGTCACAGCATCCACAACAGATACCCAAAATACAGGTCGAGCATTCAACCCCACGAACTTGATGCGGAAGGGCTGGCTCATCCCTTGAGGAGGACCCTGTTGCAACGTAATGATGGTAGGACAGTGGAAGTAAGCATGAAGGGTGTGGGGGCCCGGCACATGAGAAGAAGGATGGAGTAAGTGTACAGAGAGGGTTATTGGGATGCAATTCATCCCAATTTCCTTCAAAACTGGATGAACCGGAGGTATGTGCGAAAAACAGTTTACCACAACAAGGGCTATATGATGGTGAGAGAATCATACATGCACAACATAAATGGGGAAGAAGTGCTATTGAGGGTGAAGCTTTTCAAGTTGGGAGATAATATGGTTGGCGGGTACTAGTTGGTGTCAACGGCACCAGAAGATAAGCTACCTGTGGAATCCCGGTCGTTGGTGGAACAAGTGAAGAAACTTGGAATTAGAATACAAGAATAAGTAGTTTTGAAATTGTATTCTAATTCCAAGTTTCTCACAAGAATGAAGTTCCACCAACGACCGTCATGTCTTCTTCCATCACGTCCCATTCACCCGTGCCTATATCAAACCTCACAAGAATGAAGTTCCTCACATGCCAGCTCTGCATAATGTGTGGTACAACCCTCATCGTCATCTCTGCACGTCCCTCAACCACTTGAAGTTGTGCCAAATCATACTCCCGAGATTCCATATAACTGTTGCACGATACAAGCCAAGATATGAGTACATACCAGTAGTTGCTGATGCAGAGCTTGAATTCTCCACAGTACACTTCCCTTTCCCTTGAGGTTTTTTACCTGTGTACGTATTTATTTAGCAAGCTGATAAGATTCCTGAAACATGAAGCTCTCCGTCCTATTTTGTTGGACCATTTATATAAATAATGGAAAAGCTCAACAGTTAAAAACATTTGAGTGACTTAAAAACAATAGTGAAACTTCTTATTATTTTCTTCTTCTTTTTTAACAAGAAACACACTTGTTTATTACACACACACACACACACACTAAAATGGAAATTAAATTTGATTATCAAAAAAAAAACAAAATACACATGCACAAAGAATAAAAAATGTAGGGTGAAATTTATTTTCAAAAAATTAGAGAGATTAAAAATCAAGTTCCCCTAGTGTATCCAAATATATTAATTAAAAAAGAAGAACAATTTTAGAGGCTGAGCAAAAAGAAACAAGCTTGAGTGACAAAATATTGAAATTTTTCCATATATAAGCTAACTAACAATTGAATACTCAACACAAGGGCGCTTCCTTTCCCTGGTGATTTTTAACCTATGTATGATGAGATTACAGATATCTTGATCAAATCACAAACAAAAAAAACACTTGATATAGTTGCTTATAATCATGAACGAAGCTGCTAACCATCCATCCGCTCCTACTTAGCTGAACCAGTTATGATTTATGAAACTCTGTACAACAAGACTCAAACTATAGAACAGCAAATGAATTCAATTAAGTATGTATACATACAACAAAAAAACAAGATATTTGTTTCACTATACAGGCCATGAGATCACCACACTTGTTTGCACGTACATATTGAAACGCCATACATGAAAATTACTAAAGTAAAAGTAATCCATTCAACTGCTGAAAGCTATTAAACGAAACGAATCAGAGATTTGGCGATCAAATTGAAGAAAATTTAGTACGCACACAAAAACACCGATTCATCTCGATTCAATTGTCATAAACTAAAACAAAACAGGTTGGGGAAGAAAAGAATTCATACGACATAGCATGTATACGATCAAATTCCTCAATCGCATTGACAGCATCAATCACATACCTTCGCCTCCCATCTCTAATAAATCGTCTTTGATATGTTTGGGTTTTCAGTGTGGATTTCACGTTTTAATACGCACGCACACATCGCATCTAGTAATACTAATACTCCATCATTCCCAAATTATTTTTTACTTTTTCAACCGTCGCGAAAACTTTTGTTTATTTTTACGTTTTCATTGGTTATTTCATAAAATAAAATACTTTTGACACCTCTTATCTCGAAAAACTTTTCATGTAATTTTTTTATATGTAATTTTTATTTTTTATTTCTTTACGAATATATAAATAAAATGAATTTAAAAAAATTGATACTTTGCCTCGGTAATAGAAATGTAACAAAAAATTGGGACAGAGGGTGTAGTAATTGTAAATAATAATAATAATAATAGTAATAGTAGTAGTAGTAATAATAATAATAAACTTCTAATAATACGTATAATAATAATATTGCGTCTGCTTTTTTATTTATTTATCATTTTAAACAGATTGAACCCTTGAAATAGTCTAGTTTTGTTAACCAAAAAGAATTTGTTTTAATGTATGATTTTTCTTATTAATGCATGTAGAACCACCATAAAAAAATCAATAATTTGATCTCACTTTGTAATAACTTTTAAAAATTGTAATGATAATTCATATTATAATATAATCAATATTTTTTATTTTATGATCATTTTTTACTGAAATAAAAATAGTTAATTTACATATTAGAATAATCATTCATATTATAATGTAATTATATAATCTAATAATATTTTTTCATTCATACTATATAATGTAATAACTTTAGAAACTCAAATTACAAGTAGCAATAAAAATGTATTTTAAAAGTGGAATAAGATTGAAAAAGTGAATGTATTTTAAAAATAATTTTTCCGACGTCTAATAATTAAGAAATACGTTTTCAGTTTTCTATTTAACTTGTTTCTAAAGTTTACTCCTTTTCATTTGTAAGAAAAAATTTGTGCTTCATATCATTTTATTTTTCTCTACATAAATTATAATCGCATATAAGTTTTATTTTCTTTCTTCTTATATTTTTTCAAGAAAAATTAAATTTATTTTTTGAAAGAAATGTATCAAGTGAAACAAGTAAAAAATATAGAATCTTAAAAGTCTGGTGTAATAACGATAATGATGATGATGATAATAAATCCTAATAATAATAATAATAACAATAACAACAACAACAACAATAATAATAATTCTTGATTGGATCTAACCTGCTCTGACCTGATATGTCTGATCTAATTTGATCTGATTTTAATAAATATAAGAAAAAAGCAAAAAATAAGTTAAACGGAACGAGGTCTAAGTAGTTTTGAAATTGTATTCTAATTCAAAGTGTCTCAATTTTACATTTTAAGTTCTATAACACAAAAATAATTTGAATTCTACAATTTGACTAGATAATGTGAAATACTGTATGTTTTTAGTCTATGTATCAATTACAATAAAATGACCAATGTGACTAGAAGCCTCAACTATGTCCACCTCATATTTCTACATTACACATATTCAACCATTATGATGGTATTTATTGTTATTGATTGAGGATGTCCATCTCTAATAGATCGTATTACTTTCTTGACACCATTATACTTTATTTTAGAGTCCATAAACCCATCAAATAAACCTGTGCAAACAAGGGTCGACATGTTCGGCCCGCCCTTTAAAAAGGGGTGAATATGGACAACCTTTAATACCCAAATGAGCGGGCCGGCCCAAGCCCGAATTACATATAGGCGGATCTGGAAGTTACTTTTAGCCCATCCGGGCCAACAAACCCGCCCATATTCATCAAATATATTTACTTTATTATTAATTACCTAGCAAATATAAATTTTAAAATTTTCTATAATTCATGTATAATTGTTTAATTCACTCACCTATTTTAAACAAAAATCAATACTCCTTTAATAAATCAATATGATCGATTTATTAAATATGCAACAATATCTCTATTATGCTTTCTATATAAATGTGGTGACTGATTATTTTATTTTAAACATTAAAAAAGAGTTCAATGTTTTTTTTTAAATTTTTTGTACAATTTTTTTTTTTTGATGTTTTATCCGGGCAGGGCGGTCCGGCCCGCAAAGATGGGCAGGTATGGGTAAAGAATTTAGCCCGTCAAATCCAGGCCGGGCTAGGCCCGCCCATGTAAATGGGCTAATAATTTATATTAAGCCCGGCCCGGATCCTTATTTGAACAGGTCTACCATCAAACTAATATTATATTTGTTGAAGTTCTTCACCTCCAACAAGTGGCGAACCCAAAATCTCAAATGAGTGGTGTCAAAGTAAATGGTCCAGAACTTCTCACACGGAACGTGTGGACTTGTGACGAGAGGTCAGAGGCAACGTCTCCTGATTTCTTTTACAAACACAATAAGAAATAGAAAAAAAATCAAACTTATAAATTTTATCTTTAACGTTTAAATATTTAAAATAACAAAATTAAATGACATTATTATTAATTATTAAAATGATAAAAAATGATAGCGGTAGAAAATATTAAAGTTAATACACATTGAAGTGATAAATAACTAATTTTTTTAAACACAATAAAAAACAAAAAAAAATACGGAGTTTTTTAGGACTATTAAGTCTCCTTAGGTGTATTCCTACACCTATTTTAGAATGAAAGGGTAATGTCTCCTACAAGGGAGTTCAATTAAGTCCTTTTGAGTATTCCATGGTGTATGACTTTAACATTATCCCATTTCATATCTCTTCCGATCCGTAGGATTGGAAGTTCCACCCAACCGGAGCCGTTGGTATCAACTTGACCGGGTTCACCGCCGTAGGTAGGTAGTGGTTCAGATGTCAAAGAGTAGACTTGAAAAGAAAAGAGTAAACAAAAAGTATCAAGCATGTAGGCTTTGGTCAATTCAAATAGTTTAAAGTTTAGTAAAATTTCTTTACTACTAATAAGTTAGTTTTACTTAATTATTACAACCCAAATAAGCAGCGAGTGCAGTTTGGGCAGCAAGCAGCACACAGTTGGAACCCCCCATCACTTCAACCTTTGCAGTTAGGTTACTTATCCTATTGATTTTACTATATATATATATATATATATATATATATATATATATATATATATATATATATATATATATATATATATATATATAAAATACACCAAGCAAAGGTAACATATTTTAAATACCATTTGGATTCTCGGGTTTCAACTGAAAACATATGGCGCACGTACTCACGAGCCCTTCTGGATACCTTGGCAACGAAACGATCTTCCTCCCAGATATATTCCCGCTCTATAAATGATTTTGATTTATTAAGAATTTTCAGAAGAAGAAGAAGAAATGTTCCACAAATTAATAATTTGGGAGTGGGTTTCATTGTAACCTGCTTCAGGTGGATACCCTGATTCATCCACATAATAAGGGCTCTGCGGAGCTTCTTCGGTGTCTATTACATCTAAATACATTGGCAAACACAAAAACAAAGGCATGTATATATAGTTATAACCATAAGAGTCATAGTAGTTCACAAAAGAAATAAAAGTTCAAAACAATTCACATATCTTCATATGTTCTACAACACAACAAAACAAGTGGTTACCCGTGTCTTCCGATAAAATAGATCTTATAGACTCCAAGCGTCTTGTTACATAATCTTTTTCCTCCACAACCATATCTGCAGAGAAAGTGTGGGTTACACATTAAATAGTCTTCTTTTTTTTTCGATTCAGTTCCAATTTTCTGTAAATGCTTATTAAAAACCACAACCTAGCAGAGCCCCATTTAATAATGCAAATCAAAAACAACTGTATTTTCATTTTTTAAAGACAGAGTGTAAGAGGCTGCTAACCATGCATCCTCTACTTAGCTGAACCAGTTATTAAAAATATGTTATAACAAGACACACAGAAAAAAGAGTTATTGATCTCAGTTTTCAAGACACACACACACACACATGAAAATGTGTATACATACAGCCAAATGTCAAGTAATGAAAACTTGTATAACAGTGACACACACTAGAACATCAATTGAATGCAAATGTCAAGAACTAAGAACATAACAAAGCCACATGCACGCACAAGGGAGCTTCCCTCTCACTTGAGCTAACAGATGCTTGTTACACTATACAAGCCAAGATACCAATATGAGTATATACCAGTAATTGTTGACCATCCATCCTATTTAGTTGAACCATTTTTATAATAATGGAAGAAATTAAGAGTAAAAAAAGTTCAAGTGACTTTAAGAAACAATATTAAAACATTTCATTGTTTTCTTCTTTTTAACGAGCAACAAGCGTGTTTGATATACGCACACTAAATTCAATTATCAACACACACACACACACACAAAAGACGTAGACTGAAATTTTAAAAAATATAAAGAGATTATGAATCAAGTTCCTCTAGTGTGTCCAAATATATTTATATGCTTTACAACCCAACAAAATGACTGGTTACCAGTTGCAGCAGTTGCTGATGCAGAGCTTGAACTCCCAGCCAGAGCATCACAAGGGTGCTTCCTTTTGACTTGAGCGTTTCTACCTATGGATGTATTAATTGAAACAGCAGAACAATTTTAGAGATTGAGCAAAAAGGAACAAGTCTGAGTGATTACACTTTTTATATAAGTTAAATGGGAATTGGATTCAATTGTGAAGATCAAACACACACAAACACGCTAATATACATACATCTATTTATATATAAACACTGGAGTATGTAAGGAAGAATATAATGAAATTTATAACCAAACACAATGAGGAAATATTGCCAAGATACACACACACACACACACAAATACGTGTATACATACAACCAAATGTCAAGTAATGAAAACTTTTATAGCAGTCACATACACTAGAAGAGCAATTGAATTCAAATGTCAAGAACTAAGAACAAAACAAAGACACACATGCAGAGACAAGGGAGCTTTCCTTTCACTTAAGCTTACATATAACTGTTGCACGATACAAGCCAAGATATGAGTACATACCAGTAGTTATACAAGCCAAGATATGAGTACATACCAGTACATACCACTTATTTAATGTATTTTGGTTTTGTCTTTTGGTAAAAACCACCCGTGTACGGCATTGACTTGGTCATTCGTGGTTTTTACCTTAACGACGTGGTTTTCAACATACAAAGCTTATTTTGACATCAAAATACATTAAATAAGTGTTTTAAACACTTAGTTTTTACTTTGGAGAACTTTGCATTTTTCGGTCGGGTTTCAGTGCCGGTCGGCTAAGCCATGGTTCTGGACTAGCCATCTACCCAGCGATGGTAGATTTCACCCAAGCATGGGAAAGTGATCCCGGGATTCCAGAATCATTTCACCCAGCGATGGGAGATATTACCCATCGATGGGTAAGCAGCCTTCAGCCCAATTGAATTCCAGAACCATGCCAAACAGCGATGGGAAGCTCTACCCATCGCTGTTCAAGCCTTGGTCTAACATTATCACAAGGCAGAATGCCCTTACCCAGCGATGGGAAGCTGTACCCATCGATGGGAACCCAGCGATGGGAAGGCTTAACCATCGATGGGAAGGCATGACCGTTGTGAGTCATTTAAGGTTGATTCTTTCCTTGTTTGAAAATCAACCTCCCACCCAGCGATGGGAAGCATTTACCCATCGATGGGTAGGTGACCGTTGGCTTCAAAACTGAAGGAAATTTGGCTTACCAGCGATGGGTGAGTCTAAACATCGATGGGAAGCCAATATCCTGCAGATCCCAAATTTATTCAATCCCATAAATCAAGCCAATCACCCCTTTAATGTATTGGTCCGTTGGAGCCTTTTTTGGCACTATAAAAAGGGGTGTTTGGGTCTGCTTTACACATCAATTCACTTCACTTTATTCATATTATCNTTGAGGCTCGTGGGACTCGAGTTCTCAGGTTGTAACGGTTTGTTAAGCACCCGTAAGCTTAACGGAAGTAGTGTAGCTCGAGAGAGTCTCTCGGGAGGCTGGATTAGCCACAAGTTGTGGTGAACCAGGGTAAATCTTGGTGTGCTCCCTTTACGCTTTCTACGCTCTTTATCTTTCACGTTCTTAATTTTTTATTCCTGCGATTTCTACGATCAAACGCTATTCACCCCCCTCTAGCGTTGGTCACTTATTCTAACAACACAATGAGGAAATATTGCCAAGAGATACACACACACACACACACAAATACGTGTATACATACAACCAAATGTCAAGTAATGAAAACTTTTATAGCAGTCACACACACTAGAAGAGCAATTGAATTCAAATGTCAAGAACTAAGAACAAAACAAAGACACACATGCAGAGACAAGGGAGCTTCCCTTTCACTTAAGCTTACATATAACTGTTGCACGATACAAGCCAAGATACGAGTACATACCAGTAGTTGCTGATGCAGAGCTTGAATTCTCCATAGTATATATATATATATGTGTGTGTGTGTGTGTGTGTGTGTGTGTATATATATATGTATATATATATAAAATGGATGGCGCTAAAGCGTGCGACCTATACTCGGCTGTTGGGGCAAGAGCCAAGCCCCAATGAGTAGAAGGGCGCAGCGTTTGCTGCAAAACCTCGGGCGTGAGTCTGGGTTGAGCGGCCGTCGGTGCACATCATAGGGACTTCATGTCCGTTGCACATCAATGTTTTTAAGAAATAAGATAAAACAACATTACCCCCATGAAGTCCCTATGATGTGCAATGGACAGATCCACTGCTTATTTGCTATATCAAAGTTATAGCCCAATCATCATTACAACCTAGTAAAAGCTTTATCACATTACTCGCTGGCTACGCTGCATGAGGGGCTTCTGTTAACGATATTAAAAAGGCAAATCTATCAACTTCTTCAAACATATTAAAAAAATAATTTGAATACTTGCTAAAATCAGATCATTTTCATCAACAGCTCCGCCTACAAAGTAAATAAAAGGTTCCTTCTAATAGGGAGCAAAGGAAGCGTCTGCAAAGTTTAAGAGTAGTTGAAAGCTCATTTAGTGTAAGCCTCAAAATTCCTCTAGAAGGCATATAAACTGATCCCACAACTTTCACAAAGAACAGTAAAAGAATATAAGAAGTAAATTTCACTGAATTATTAGAACACGTATATGCATACTTGTGAAGGGTATTATATGATAGCATAAAACGAAGAATTATGTGTTCCAATAAGAATATTTATAAATTAACGATTTAAATAAAGAAACAGTTATCAATCTTGGAAACATATGAATCCTCCAAATTATGGAATTGCATGCTAATTTAGGGGACAAAATTCATATAAATTTGGGAAAATGCATATTTGGCATAGGTTAACATGAACTTAGGAATATAAAAAAATAAATTTGAAACGAATCTGTTCATGATTTGCTAGACTCTTTTTCCGACTGCCCAATATTTGCCAAATATAAATCCTAACAATTTGAGAAAACTAAATTAAGTAAAGATTACCAATTGAAAGCTGATCAGAGATTCCAATAAACGGAGACAATTGTTTTGCTTCAATTGGAAGGATACGACTCTGAATCATAGAAAATAGGAAGGATCACAAAAACTCTTTCTTAGCAGGTTGTTTTCTTCTGCAACAAATTTTCTTCCTTTAAATCTCTTTCTTAGCAGGTTGTTTTCTTCCGCAATAGATATAAAATGTTTCTCCATTTTGAATAAGTTCCGGAAAATCAACAAAAGCACCCATCTTTACATTTCTATCAGCATATAAATTGACCAATTATTAACAGAGCCCGGGAAAAGAAAAGAAACCAATAAAAGAACAAATTACAAAACATATGAAACACGAAATGATTGTAATTCTACCTGTCTGCAGATTCCTGGACATCTTCGGCTGCAGAAAAGAAAGGATCTTTCTCCCACCGATCAAAATGGGTCGCCATGTATGTCATCTACTTTTAACCTCACATGATGACATGATGAGTACGAGAAATAACTTTTTGCAAAGCTTCATTGGTTTTTCTTCTACACTTAGATATAAAGAATCCCACTGAAAAGGAAAATATTATACCTGTAACATGGATGTTTTTGCTTCTTCAGGTTTTGAACAAACAACTGTGTCAGTGTGTCAGTGTGGCGGGCATCAACTTCACAGTTAGACGGCATAGATTTCAGAATCCACACAAAGATTCCGCAAAGAATCAGCGAAGAATCATTAGGACTTTCCTTGCAGATTTTCTTTCCTTCCGTGAAGATTTACGGCAAGGGCGTAGATTTCAAAATCCACACGAAGAATCAGCGAAGAATCATAGGGACTTTCCTTGCAAGGGCTATCTCTCTCTAAGCGCCTCCCACGGCGATCTCCAATTTCCGGCTTCCATGGCCGGTGATGAGCTGCCGGACACCCACCATCACCCTCCTGGCCTCAAGACGATCCCATCCCACCCAAACATCAGCCCCGTTGCTGCCGCCGTCACACAGGTCGCGCACTCCAGCCCGGCCACCACACGCAGCGGCAAGCCTCCAAGCCTATCTCCGAAGGTTCCTGACGTCCTTGCGAGTTCAGCGCCACCGGAATCGCTGCATTTGGAGGTCGGAAACGCCAGATCGAAGTTCCAGCCCGATCCGCCGTTCACTCTCGGGTCGCTGAATTTTCCGGCCATCTCCGGCAATAATCCGGTCGCGCACCCTCCCACTGTGTTCCTGCCGTCTCCACGATCTCTAAGGACCCATCAATTGCTCAATTTGGTGCCGGATTGAGAAATCTCCATTCTAAGGCGAGTAGGGGTTCATAGATCGCAAAGATCGCTAGAGAGGGGAAGAATCCGGACCGCTAAGGAGTGGACGCGTGTCATCTGAGTCAAATTAAAGCATTTAAGTTGCCACATGTTACATTCTTATAAATCAAACTCTCAAATTTTATATTAATAAAACATTTAAGAATTGAGCTTTTAGTATTGTGACTTGTGGCGCGTTTATTGGGCAACTTTTTGACATATCAGCATATCATTTCATCAAGTAATATTTAAAGAATTAATTAGAAAAAACTTAATCTATGAACACATATTCCTTAGCATAATCACATTTAAAAAAATTTACATCTTAATTCATTCTTAGAAAATCTTTAAATTAAATGATACATTTTGAAATTAAAAAACTTATATTAAAAACAATAATAAAAAACAAATTTATTCTAAGAACATATACAATGGTTGGACCAAACAAAATTACATGCCAATATTTGTTTTTACATGGAATTATTACTGATTGGAGAGATTTTCTAATTTTGAAAAAAGAAAAATAAAGAAATGAAAGGAAAGGGATTTTTGTGGGCATGATTATTTAACAGACCATTAAATTTATTTTGTATATATTAAAAAAACTCCAAGTCAAATTAAAAGTATATTCCATTTTAAAATTAGTATTTTTCATTTTTAAATTTTTTTTCCACTACTAATTTTGTGAAAATTAATAGATTCGTGTAAAAAATTACTATTTTCCATTAATAATTTTATAAAATGATGAAGACTTGGTACAGGAGTATTTATGTGTAAGAAATTTATAATTAATTGATGTTCATAATCAAAATATTTATGATATAATATCTATTGTTATAAGTGTAATTATTATTAAATACAATTCTTGAAAAACGTAAAACATGCTTATTTTTACATCTATGTCAAAATCTTTATTTTTATATATAAAATTTGAGAGTTGGACTTTTTGAATTGTAACATGTGGCGCGTTTATTGGGTAATTGTTTGATATGTCAGCACGTCATGTCTTCAAGTAATATTTAAAAAATTAGTTAAAAACACTTATTCTATGGACACATATTGCTTAGCATAATCACATTTAAAAAATTTTATATCTTAATTCATTGTTGAAAAATATTTAAATTAAATGATACATTTTGAAATTAAAAAAACATATGTTAAAAACAATAATAAAAAAAATAAATTTATTCTAAGAACAAACAGATTGGTAGGACCAAACAAAATTACATGAAAATATTTGTTTTTACATGGAATTATTAATAATTGGAGAGATTTTCCAATTTTGAACAAATAAAAATAAATAAATGAAAGGAAAGAGATTTTTATGGGCATGATTATTTAACAGATCATTAAATTTATTTCGTACATATTAAAAAAATTCTAAATCAAATTAAAAGTTCGTTCCATTTTAAAATTAGTATTTTTCGTTTTTAAACTCTTATTTTCCATTAATAAATTTGTAAAAATTCGTAGATTCGTGTAAAAAAATTACTATTTTTCATTAATAACTTTATAAAATGATGAAGACTTTATACATGGGTATTTATGTGCAAGAAATTAATAATTAATTGGTGTTCCGAATCCAAATATTTATGGTATAATATTAATTGTTATAAGTGTAATTACTATCAAATAAAATTCTTGAAAAATGTAAAACATGCTTATTTTTACATCTATGTCAAAAATTTTACATATAAAATTTGAGAGTGTGGGCTTTAGAATTGTGACGTGTGGCGCGCTTATTGAACAATTTTTTTGACATATAAGCATGTCATGTCATCAAGTAATAATTAAAGAATTAGTTAAAAAAACTTATTCTATAGAAAAATATTCCTTAGAATAATTAAATTCAAAAAATTTTATATCTTAATTCATTGTTGGAAAGTATTTAAATTAAATGATACATTTTGAAATTTAAAAAATTTATATTAAAAACAATAATAAAATAAATAAATTTATTTTAAGAATAGATAGATGGGTAGGACCAAACAAAATTACATATAAATATTTGTTCTTACATAGAATTATTACTAATTGGAGAGATTTTCCAATTTTGAAAAAAGAAAAATAAATAAATGAAAGGAAAGGGATTTTTATGGGCATGATTATTTAACAGATCATTAAATTTATTTCGTATATATTAAAAAATTCTAAGTCACATTAAAAAGTATGTTTCATTTTAATATTAGTATTTTTCATTTTTTATTTTTTATTTTCCATTACTAACTTTGTAAAAATTTAAAGATTCATGTAAAAAAATTACTATTTTCCATTAATAATTTATAAAATGATGAAGACTTGGTACATGAGTATTTGTGTATAAGAAATTAATAATTAATCGGTGTTCATAATCAAAATATTCATGGTATAATATTAATGGTTATAAATGTAATTACTATTAAATAAATTCCAAAACATGCTTATTTTGACATCTATGTCAAAATAATATAAATCAATAATATTCTTGCTTATTTATTTATCCGACCTTTGACATTAATGTAACAAATATTAGTGGATAATATAGCTTTTTTATGTTTAGAGTTTTTAGATAAAAATATTTACAATATTTATTATATTATAGTTAATAAAGATATATAAGGAGAGGGATCATCATCGGCTATAGCCTTGCATCATCGAACTCGTTCGAGAAAGAGTATACTATGTGATGTGACAAATGATATTTTTGTTATTCTGAATTAAATATTTAATTTTTTAGTAATTTTTTCCCAAAAAATTATCTATACTGTGCTCTAATCAGAGAATAATTAGATACACACTTCATCGTACTTTCAAGTGCGTAAGAGATAGAAGAGAGCATGAATGCCATTTCCAGGTATTTTCAGTTGTTGTTGTTGTTGTTGTTATTATTATTATTATTATTATTATTATTATTATTATTATCCCCTTGGTTCCCATGACATTGGGAATCAATGTCATGGGATACCCCGAATATGCTTCGGTGTCCCTTTTGTAAAATTGACAATTACTATCTACCCTAATTTGAGACATAAAGAGTATTTCGTATTGATTCATTTTTATTGGGTCTTAATTCAGGTATTGTCTTTAATCAACTTTTTTCTATTGATGAGTCAAATCTATTCGAGTGTATTTGTGTTTAACTAAAAGAAATTCAAGAGCGTTTAATTTGTTTTCAATGAACATAAACATAACTACAAACTCTAAGATAAATTCTTACGTGGTTCTACGATCCATACTTTATTTTGTGGATATTATTGTATTCATATCATAAAAAAAATTAAGTCTTTTACAAAAAAATATGCCAGCTCATAAAAATGTGAGAAAATTCACATTTCGCATATGGACAAATCTTAGAACCACTAAATAACAACTCAAACACTAAATTACAAAATATTTCACATTGCCAAGTACTTAAGCAAATGAAATTTCAGAGCTAAAAGTGGAGCCAATTACTGCATGTTCTTTTTGAGTTAGAATTCTAAAATTAGATATTGAAAAAATTGGAAGAAATTTATAAGAATTGTAAAAACTTGAAACGGGCACCTTGACCCCCAAATCATAATAAAATTGAGTTTGAACATATTCTATTCAACTTATTCTTATTGAAATTAGATCAAATTATATCACAAATAACTTTAAATAGAACTGGGAATTAGATTAGACCAAATCCGTCTTCAATAAAATCAAATGAGACAGCGAAGAGAACAAGCTCTTAGTGTCATCATATAATTGATGATTTCCCGTAAATATACTCTAACTAGTAACTAACATTTAAAACTTGTAAACATAATCAACTACAAGACTCATTGTTTTACGCGACAAAACAAGAAAAAAAAGACTGACATTGTCCATTACAAAGTTTGTATACAATACGGGGTAGGAACCATTAATTTTGCAAACGGAACACCGAAAGTGCTCCAAAATGACAGTGGCACCGGAGTGTCACCGTACTCCGGTGTCACTAGAACTTCACCGTATACACACACACACACACACACACACACACACACACACACACAGAAATGGATAGAAGGTTACCAGTTGCACACTGGGAATGCTAAGTGCGCTACGTTATTTAGGTGTTGTGTTTGATTGATGGCCGCCAGCAGCACATCAACAAACAAAATGATGAATGAATGAATAGTTATGTCTTCTATGTTCTCTTCCTTGCAGCATAAGAGCGATATGCGGCCAATCCAACTATACCTACACCAGCTGCAACTGCAGTTTGAATTGAGAGACACAGTCAGTCTAAGAGATCATATTTAGTAGTAGAAGAAAGTGTGGTTTTTGAGGTGATGATTAATCTTGTCATAAATTTATGGGAGTATTGGAATGAATTTTTCCAAGCAAATATGGCGAGGGCCTTAGTCAATTCACTTTACACTTTTTTCCTTTATTAGTTTGTTTAAATGGACTATTATTTGTGAATGGAGAGTTATTCAAATTACCCGAGGCAGAGACAAGAGAGCGGTTGACAAACTGCCGAAAACGTTTCTGGTTGCGTCCAACTTGAGTTTCGGGAACACTCAAATGAGGGTGTTCAGCTGCAGTTACAATTCGACTGAACACACTGTTCAAATCCCTCTCCTTCACGCTCAAATGAATAGGCGAATCAATCCTAAAATTCAGGCATATCTGTAACCAATTCAACAAACAAACGAACACATTGTTCATTTAGAGAGCAATCTTTTTAACATCTGTATGTACAGCAGAATGACCAATATGGTGATTAGAGAGGACAATTCCAATGTTATGAAAAGGCCTAGGTGCTCACTAGGTGAAGACTAATCGGGACTAGGAGGGATTCTAAGAGGGTGTTTGGTATGAAACAAAATTAAAACTTCACACGAAAATGTTGGCCTGCAAAAAGTTCATAGCATTTTGTTTGACACTTTTTCTAATGGCAAAATACTTTGCATGTTGAAAACATTAACCAAACAATAGAATATGACACATGCAAAGCAATTCTATTTCTACACTTCGCTTTGTGTGCAAACTTTTAATGATCATTCTACCAAACACCCCCTCCCAAAGTGAATTTAGGCGGACCAGACATGAGTAAAGAAGTGTGTAGGGCCCAGACATGGACTTATTCGGGCTA